TATGTATATATCTATATATATATGTCTATATATATATATATATCAGGTGAAAGGAAAACAAAATGTTTTCAACGCATCTTAGATTCGAAGCTGTATCACTTGGACGAATTTCCATAATATCCGTAACTCTTAATTAATTAATTAACGTTAATTTTTGTCTTATAACCTTTTCTATTATTTATCTGGATATTAAGAGAATATACTGTAAGTGATTACTTCCATACTGTCTTCGACCGCTTCGAGCCGAGGACGATTTCCGCTTTAGAAAATACATCTTCACACGAATGAAAAATTCAAACGGTACCATAGTTTTGCCTTTCATAAACTTCTGCTATGTGAGATATATATGAAAAGGGCAAAAAAAAAAACCGTAAAACTAACTAGCATAATACCATTGATAAGGTGTTTGTATTCACTTTCGATTTTGACCGAATGTTCGAACATTTCCTTAGCGGCTTTCGTAGTCATCTTCTCGGTAAGATAACGGCAATCCTTCACCTCACGAATCTGTTTCGTAGACTTGAACTTGATAAAGATTACAATCGGATAGATTTGGCACTTCTTCAAGCGCTCTATGATCACATCTAGGCTTAAGCTCACGTCTAAAAACGCGTGACTCTGCAAAAAAAAATAAAGCAAAATCCATATATAACACAAATGAACACTCAGTCACGAATTAGTTCTGAAAATTAACGTTTTTGCGATATCGGTTATTGTGCAGATTACTAATGATCCGAAAAATTTAATTTTTACAAATACAAATCTGTTTTATACGGTTTTAGAATTAGCGCAGCTATCGAGAATTTCTAGTTATGTGTATTTGATTGAAGTCTCATTATCGCGAACGTATAGTATCAGTAAAGCGTACGGACCCGATGATTTAGTCAAACGCCATTGTTAGGGTCGCCCAGCATAACTATGTTTATAATTTTCCCGCAAGCTAAATAGAAAATGTCCCTACAGCACTCCAGGCAACAGGCTTCTAGAAAGAATATTGGGGCTTGGAATTGGAGCCTCTACAAACAAGTCGCATAGTCCTGATCAATAGTAGTGTCGCATTGGAGCAACGTACTAGAGTCCTGTAATCTTCGTACCTGTTCGCAAATTGCTTTAATGGCACTGATAGTGGTGCATTCGAAATGAGAGCCTCTCCTTTGGAAATCCAGAATTTTGAGCTCGCTAACACCTTTCTCCATAAGGTGCGGTGTTCCGCGCATGGCCTCCGCTAGGCATCGCTGGAACATGTCTGGGTAGTCCTGTTCTAGCTTCTCCATCACGGCGTCGTTTAGCGGCCCAATCAGAATTACAGGCCGAAAGCTCGTATCTGCAATGAAAACCACAATCATTCCTGCAATTGGTCTCACTTCTCTATTCCTATGAATACAATATACGGATGCGTATATCTTCGTGCTCTCTAGAACTTACAGCAAAGTTTCTCGACCCGTTGGTAAGTCGGCGGAGGGAGCAGCTCATCGGCAGCGAGCATCGACGCTGCCGAGCCGGCGGAGTAACTTGAAGAGTTAATTGATGCGTCAGAGTAGGCCGCGATCTCGCGGGTGCTTGCGTTCTTCGAGCGGCGCCGAAAGAAGCTGCGACGGGCTGAACCTCTTCTTCCGGCTTCATCCGCCGCCATGTCGAGCAGGGAGCGTCTCAGTACCAACTCTTCCTCGGCTTTGTAGCGCGACGGAATGAATCCGCATCGCGACTTTCGTCCTTCCTGGTCGACCAACCAGGCACGCCACAGACCGTTGACGCCTGCCCCCGCAACAAGACCAAAACGACACACGCGCACAGGGTAGAAGAAGCAATAGAAAACAATGGCGACTACCATCTATAACAATATATTGGGCCGAGTATCAGGGCTTAAATGCTGTTTTCGTGTATCATCCCGTAATGTATAATAGAAGAATAATCTTTTTCCTTCTGGATGCTCTTCCTTTAATCAAATATCTTTTCCCAACCCACCTTTATACATGGTGTTATCGACAAAGAATACGTCGTCTTTCTTGATGGGTAGAGATCCATCAGTGGCAGGCCGGTCGAAAAGAGCGCGAACATAAAACGCATCGCCGCTGCCATACTCCTGAATTTCCATGTACCTCTCCATGTTCTCCTGAACAAGCACCTTCAATTGTGCGCTCTCGCCCGTCGGCTTAGCTAACTCCGAGGCTGCGTCTTCCGCAGTGAAATTACGTAGATCGATCCCGTTGTACTCAAGAATCTGATCGCCGGGTCGCAGGCCAGTGGCCGCGGGCGAGTCCGGCTCTACCGAGTGAACGAATATACCGACAGCATTGCCGCCCAGCAGAGTGATGCCGAGGTTCGAGCTGCTGGGTTTGTTCAGCACAACGACACGGGGCTCTGTTGGCTTTGACGAATCGCACCGAACACCGCCTTTGCTAACGCTACTACCCACGGCTCCAATGCTACTCACAGCAGTGGGTTCGCGTTTGCTGCCACCGCTATTCCCACTACTAGGCTCACCTCCGCTACCGACCATTTTTGTATGGGAATGGCCGTGTGCCTGCAGCGGTTGAGGCAGGTACACGGTGCCTCCAACGCCTCCTCCTACACTTTTATGACTGCTTCGGGTCAACGTTGAGTTCCCACCCGCCGACGATAGATCGTCATTCGAACGGCTTCGAGCTTCCCGCGCGTCGACGCATACACTGGGCCCAGCGGCTCCCGGGCTGCGGTGGCGTTTTGTGACACTACTGCTGCCGTTGCCACTTCCACTAACGACGACGACACCACCAGTGGCCATGGTCACGTTAGGGCCACTGCCCGCTGTCCCCGATTGACTCTGTCGGTACTGGGTCTTTGGCGAGGCGTGCGGTGTATCCGGCGGACTTTCGCTCGCACTGCTGCTTGCTCCCCCGGGCGTAGAGCAACCCTCCCGATATTTGTCAGGGTTAAATTGCACCAGCATAGTCATACTATCTCGACATTGCCGTAGAACGTTAGCTGCCAATTGATAAGTGGCATTCCGCATGTTAATGCCGCACACTTCCAAGAGTTGGTCACCGATCTGTAGGCCAGCTTTTTCCGCTAACGAATTCTCAGTCACTGACGACACAAAGATGCTTTGCCCCGCGCCGCCCTTGATTTGGATTCCCAGGGGTTCTTTGCTCTTTTCGATTATGATTCTGCAATGTTAAACAGACACACCCGATAAAACCTATGAAGTAACGCGATGATTACTAATAACGAATATTAACTATACCCATGGCACACAATAAATTCGAGGAGAACACTTTTAGCACGAGACAAACATACTGAACTCACATTGGCTAGTATAAGGAAAGGTATCGCTGGAGGCATATTTAAACAAGTAGGAGGTGGGTAGGGATGTAATAATGACAGAGATAGCACAGCTTTGTTATTAAAGACTAGTTATAATGATGCATATTTCATTAAGCTTAACCTAGAGGCACGTTTTTCATTGTTATACCGGAAATACTCTCAGGCATAAATACCGACACATAAATATACAGAGAGGCACACACGTTGGCGCCGCCAATTGGATTTTCGCAGGCCCAAAGGCAAAAGAGGTGCTCAGACTTTAACTAATGATGTGACCCTGCTTTGAATCAAGAAAGTAAAGACGGGCACGTCAGTTATCAAGAGACACAGCCATTTAATGCAGTTGTCCACGCGATTATAATAATCATCCGATATCTTACTGATCATTCTACTGGTGCCGCTCTTGTAGTGTATGCGAGGAAGCGGCTTTTGTTTAAATTTTCAGAGTAAATTATATGCTGCTTCCCGCTTTGGTTCTCATACTTAGGGTAATATATCTGTACGCTTTAGAGGTTTATGAGGCTTATCTACGCGGCGCCTTCCATTATCACTTCAGTGTTTTATCAGCTAAGTGACAATTTGCTCAGAGCCGACGCGCTTAGAAAAGAATTTATGACGAAGTTATGATGAACGTACGTACTTACAAGTACGTATGTTCATCATAACGAGCAATGTTATAAGTCAAAGCGGCAAGTATAAAGAATAGCTTTCCATAGACTCTAACGTGTATCTTTTTTTGGCCACGTGTCCCCGCAACAATTGCAAATTTGGTAGATATTCAACTACAAAATTCGCTTATTTTTTCATGTTTTACATAGTAACCACTAAATCGAATATTGGAATATGTTCCGTTTTTGCTATGCAGTCGAAAATGATGGCTTCCAGAGAAAAGATCTGAGTAGTTCTGGGAAACATCGATACTTTTCTATTTTTTTGCGCAATCGACCTTGTCAAAGGAATAATATTTTATGATATATTGATAAGGAAAACTTGTTTCAGCTTCAGGTAGCGGAATAAGACCATGCTAATGAGTATAGTGTAGTGATTATTTAAGTGCAGCAGAGGCGCGAAAAGACTGGTGCAGGCAAACGGAGCAACTATCGTAGGACCACAAGGAGGCACCGCGGTGAGCTCGGGTTCAAGTCAAGCAGGCTTGAACCAACTGTAGCTTTACCTGAGAAAAATAGCTAACAGACCTTGATGAGTATGTTGATGAATTATGCACGAGAAAGGGACAGTTAATGCGTGCAGTTATAGAACAGGTAAAACCAAATACATATGGGCATACGTGAGGCTGCTTATTGGCGCACAAGTAACCAAAACAAACATTCTAAGCGTTACAGTTGCCCGCCTTCTAATGCATTAGAAGCTTGACCTCGGCCAGTACGGACAAACACGTCAATTTTATGATTCGAACCCTAGGTTCATACTGCCCTTAACCGTCGTGGGCGCATAAGTTGCCACTGTATTATAGTGAAGACAAATTATGCTATGATAACGTGTAATACTATTATATCTTACCTTCGTGTGTCGCCTGCTTTGGGCTTTCGGTTCTTCGGATTGAGCTCAATGTCTCCTCCTGATGAGTTGATAAGCTCGACAGTCAGCGCCGGCTGCAGTGGTGAGGCAGGTCGATGTTGATGTTCTCGGTCAATGCTGCCCGTTGACACCCGTCCCGCAGACGAGCTCACACTGGGAGTTGACGGAATCCTGATGCGTTGCTGTCGCTTGGGGAACGTGGCAAGACCGGCAATTGACACTCCAACATCGGCCGTTGTCGGCGCCCCTCCACCAATGCCGGTGCCTCCGACTCCGCCACTCGCATGCATCACGCTCATATGCGCGCCATGCACATGAGCATGAGTTCCGCCGAGCGCTCCGTGATCGGCGTGCAACGGCGGAATAGGAGGGACGTGCGGACCCGGGTACGGCGCTCCGTGAAAGTGGCCAAACTCGATTCCATACGTCGGACTGTATGACGTCTGGTAGGCAGCCAGCGACGAAGGACATGGCGACGGCGTATAACTACCCCCTACAATTGCCGCCAACATTTATAGTCGTCGAATATTTGTAACAAACGGTCAAACACAGAAAAAAAAAGCAAAATCAACATGCAGGTTAGTATGGCTTATACCACAGGAAGCGTGTACGGTTCCAGTCCACAGCTTTTCGTAAATATATTTTTTAAATGATTATTTAGAAAATAATTAGGGCTAGTCTTTTAGCACGTCATAAAACAACTTTGGCATTATGCATACATAGCACAGTGTCAGCATGGGACAAATAAACAGAAAACTCTAGACTGTTTTTTTACACAGCTCCCAGCTGCACCAAAGACACATTTTGGTCTACCTCTAGTTCACGGAAGCATCTAAAAATAGAACTACCAAAAAAAGAGGATTACTACTAACTTCAATCTTTGTCGCTCCTTTCATCCCTTAATGCGATATTTAGCATACGTTTGTTCTCCTTCTCCATCATTCTTTCATAAAATCTTTCTTAATTATACTTACCTAATAACTCCATCGTACTTTGACTCTATTCTCATTGAAGTAAAACGTTTCGAGTTCTACGTCCGGAACAGCCGTTAGGCTGTTATACATGAGGCTCTGTTCTCACCTGAGTAATGGCTACTGTCCTTTATACCGTACCCGGTGGACGGTGTGAATGTGTTGGTTGACGACGACTCTGCTCCTGCGCTGAGGAGTGAGTCCCCACTGCGTGACATATAAGGACCAGGCCCCGGAGGACAGCACACGGGACCAACGTGTCCTACTGCCGATATGGCGTGCCTCGTGCTGTGACTACTCCCCGTCGTGTAGTAGTTCGGATATAGAGGGTTGTGAGCCCCTCCATGACCGCCGTGGTGGGAAGCAGCACTGTGAGTGCCATGGCCTCCGAGGGCTCCGTGTGGATTGAGCGGGTTAAGCGTATTCAATGGATTTAGCGAGTTGAGAGCTGATGGCTCTAGCGGAGCCGGGAGAATCATTTCATAGGCGGACTCTTTCACACTGCCATTTCCAGCCGAATGCGCTCCATAATGGCTTCCGTAACTTCCGTCGAGAATCGAGGCCGTATAGTGAGCCGAGCGTGGACGCGTAGACACTTGCATAGAAGAGGTCTGGTGGGATTCATTAAGATGAGAACACACAGTATGTAGCTATATAAGACTAGAATAGGCCTTTATGGGACGCGAACGAAAAAGAAATTAATGATGAACGTTATTATAATTCGGACTAGTATACTTAATAGAGGGCATTATTTTAACCTATTTTATTACTAATTTGTTAGTGACAACAATTTATAACTGATCCTTACCATGATATTAATTCTGCATTGATTAATAATAACCAATGATAATACCATAACGATTCAGATGCGAAAGATCTTACTAAATATGCAAACGTACGATCAGGTGGGAAGCCAACGTTGAAATGGATTGGAATGCTAGCATGTATCAATCGTCTTTCGAACGCTTTATATCTTCTGTAAAACGAACACATTCTTTACGGCCGTTTTGTGTACACTTACTTGAGCAGTGACAAGACCAGAAGATCCTTTAACGGCCAATGGCTTCGAATGCGGCCTGGGAGTAGTCATACTATAATACCGATCCTGTGAGTGATTTCGCGAACTGGGCGCCGTCTGTACTAAACTGTTGAACTCCCTAAGGATCTCGGAGGACGTTTGAGGGACATAGGCGTCCATCTTAATCGGTGAGCTTCCGCTAGAAACGGGGCTGGAATCAGAACTCGAGTGGTAGAATTGTTTTGGAATTGACTTACGTTCCTTTCGCTTGTGCGTTGTTTGCAATGTGTTTACGTTTAGTGAGACCTTTTCACCCGCCTGTAACTGGTGTTCGGTCAGAGCACCCTTATATTTCGGCCAAGTTCCCCCGTTGTTTGGAGCGCTGCTAGTACCACGATGATTCTCTTTACTACTGCTAGTGCTTGATCCCTTATGACTCTTTGCTGATTTCCTTTCGCTTGAAAACCGGTCAATGACAGAGTCGAGCTCAAAGATTGCCTCCTTCGTATCATTGCTGCTCTGTATCGTGGACAGAGGGCGCGTCGATTTTTTCTCGCCAAAGATCTTGTTTTTAGCGCGATCCAATAACGTGTTGGACGCCTTTTTCTCCGATGGTGATACCAATGTTTTCGCCAGTTTCTCATCGGTCTGAACACACACCGAGCTGAACTGTTTTAGGATAATATTCGCTGATCGGTCCTTGGTATCATCGTTTTTGCTGCTACTGTTGATAGAGTTGCCGAATCGACAAACTTGAAGTTGAAATCGGCCAGGCTTGTCCAGCTTCTCAAGGGCGAGCTGCATATCGGTAACGACCTGTCCATCGATACTGAGAATGCGGTCTCCTGCCTGTAATACTTGTGCCCCCGGTGTGCCTGGGACAGTTTGAGCGACGTAAACACCGGCCTCGAGTACGAGTCCATGGGTCTCCTTTTCAGGGATTTGAAGTTCACAAAAGAAATAGCCCCTTCTACTGGAATGCTTATGCTGAGAACTGGCTCTACGCCTCACCTCCAACTTGAGATAGTCTGTAGCCTTCTGTAACATCTCTTGCGCAACTTCAACTCCCATCTGGAATACACTGGCTCCATTGATTTTAATAATTTGGTCCTGCAGTAGAAGCTTTCCGTCGGCGGGACCTCCAGCTTCTATTCGGGAAACCCACAATGTATCATTGTTTTTGCATGTCTCAAACCCTCCGCCGTTCTCCAATCCATCGAGCTTCTAAAAAAAATTCAATTTCAACAAGCAAAAAGAAAAAATATGGAAAAAAACCTTGGTGCAGGCGATAAAAACTAATATCTATAATAGAACATGAATAACAACATAATAATAATAATACTTCCTTTTATATTTAATAGGTAGCTAGCTGGTTGCGTTAATTAATATATGAAATTTTTTGTTACTCTTTGTTGTTATGACCCATTGTTGTTTCTACTAGTTGGCACAGAGAGAGAAAGAGAGATTTATTTTTAATTCGTGGCAATATGTGCGCTATATGTATTATTTACGTAAAATCAGAATGCAATATGGAAAATACTGTAAACGTATTAAAGCACAGGTGGAGGACGAATACCAGCAATTAAAAATCAATCAAGTTGCTACGTACCAGTTTGACCGTTTTGGTGCTCGCTTCGAACTCCTCCATGATGTCAATAGCTGAATCCTTGCTTAGAGCCACTCCCAGCTGCATTTGACGAAGTTCATTAAGTTCCTTATTCGCTTGTCTCTTGGCGTCATCCGAGTCTCTAAGGGCTTCCGCCAGTTCCGAAACCGCACGGTCGCGCTCCTTTCGCAGACGGTCGCAAAGTGCCCGGATACTTTCCCTCTCGAGGACGATCTTGTCACGCTCGCTGAACGCCCAGTCCCGTCTTCGCTTGCTTACTTCGGCCTCCTGCAAAATTGGACGGGACAAATACGCACAGGCACACAGAATCCAGAATCCATTCAAAGACAGAACACGCGACAATGCGCTCGAATCATCATTCCCCCAGGCCTGGAGCGTGGTTCCTCGATTCAGCTATTGGATGGTTTGCATAACATAACACGACTATTCTGATCGAACCGGACAGACACGCTTGAATTCCGTACAAGCTTTGCGTATCGTTTCTGTACGTTATACGTACAATAGATAAATGAACAAATTATATGTACGGGTTATCCTGTGAGAGCACATTTACAGATACAGAAATTATTTGGGCCGGTGAGCTTTACAATGGTATTTATATATGAAACGTTCGAATATTGAATTAGGCTGTCGATGAAACTGTGCTACCCAATCTACAGAAATATGTAGAAGCAGTCTAGGGAACCATTTTTGCTTTACAAGCGTACGAAGATTGGCAAGGCTTACGCTAGCATAAATATTGCAATTATATATATAAATATATCGTATTGAAATTACTTGTTGAGCTTCGGTAAGTTCATTCTTGAGCTTGGTAACTTCTTTGTGAAGCGCTTCAATCTGATCCTTATAAGCTTGCGAGTCTTGTTCATGCTGCTTTTGCAGTGGGGAGCACTCTCGGAGTTGGTTACACTCCTTGAGTGCACGGTCTCGATCCTGCAGCGCCGACGCAATCTCCCGCTTTAGGCCTTCATTTTCATCTTGCAAGCTTTTGATTTTGTTCTCGCTAGTAGATAGCTCAGAATTCTTTGTTGCGAGCTCCTCTTGGAACTTTTCCATTTCCTTATGTACACTGTCGCGCTCGCTCATGATCAGAGCGTACTCCTGTACAGCTGCATTGCGTTCCTCGGTGAGCCTATTCAGGTCTTTGCCAGCCTTAAGCCGGATGGCCATTGCCTGGTTGATCTCCTTCATGGCGTCATCCCGCTGCTGTTGGGTTCTTTGGAGTTGTTCGCGCGCATCGTTTCGTTCCCTGAGTGCGTTGTCCCACTGTCGGATGGCGGCCGTGCATTGTTGCTGCAGCCCCGCGCATTCGCGGAGTGCAGCATCACGCTCGCGTTTCGCGTCGTCCAGCTGCTTTTTGAGCCGAGCCATATCTTCTTGCGAAAGCTCCATCTTCGACACGTGCGATGAGTGTACCTGCGTCAAAGCAATTAAGAACGTAGCGGAGCAAGAACATTAGGAATGCAGCACATATATCTGTTAGGCTATTAGGAGCGTCCAAAGCGTCCACAGCAAAAGCATTTTCTAATACTAAACAAGCATCCAAATAGAGTAATAGCTGGTTGTTACTGTTTTTTCCGAAAGCTTCAAACAGATTCTGTCTGTTTGGGACCTTTGCTTAACTCTACATACTACCCCTTAGAAGATGCTCTCTTCGTGGCTAGTCAAAGACAATCACTATAGGTTCATATTTGCGTGTTTAAGATTTATCGCCTGTTAAGATATCATCAGAATGATTTTCTTGATTTAACGCCTAGTATGTGGCGATAAGTGTATTCGCGTGAATCTCGCGTCGCCTGAACCATTAGCAAGCATGATCGGTCATGTTCGTTCTGCAGACACTAGTAACTTAGCCTAATTGTCTGTTTAAAGTACGGCTAAAGTTTTCGCGCGGTAGCCTTTGCGCAATACATACAATGCACATCTTTGCTCAGTTATACATAACTTGAAGGGAGCATTTAGATGCATGTATAATGTGTGTATATATATATATAGTTAGAAAGCAAAACACTAATAAGATGAGCGTCATATCCAGCCGCCGCAGTAGCAGCGTACAACGGTCACATGCTCATCAACATCTTTATAAAGCGCCATCTGTCTCAAAGCTGTTCACCGCTCCAATCTATAGTAGCAGAAAGAGAGCGAAAGAGCTGAAAGAGTGAGTGAAGGTTATGGGATCAACGGACGCGCGAGTCAAGTGCGAGGTACAGCAGCAGTAGCTGGCGGTAAGCAATATTTGCAATTTACTTTGCACGTTCGTTCGTCTGCGTACAGACTCTCTTGCCGTTCTCTTTCTTTCTGGGGCTGCTCATCGGCGTGTAGTCTGGGTTACTGTCGATGCTGCTGGTGCTGCCGTCATCGTCGTCATCTGCAAATGACATCACCACTTGGTTGGTCCCGGAAGAAAAAACTCAACGTCCTCTCCAGACAAGATGGAGTCAGCGGTTCCATTGTACTGCCTCCTGTTTCTGTCAAGGTCCCATAGGCTAACGGATCCTAATGCTGCTGATACTGCTGCTGGCCTCCATCGTCACTGTCCCTAAAGTTAACAACCTCTTCCAGAAGGCCTCCTACTTTCAGTTATATTTGTATGTATGGGTGTCTGTGGCTGCGTGTATTCTTTCTCACGTTCTCAAGCTACGATTCGTTTTTATGTTCGTGCCAAACATTTGTCGTTTACTGCATCTATCCTTCCAGCCACGTGCGTTAACGGTGGGCGGACTAGCCGGCTAGCTGGTAGGTGCCGCCTACCAGCTATCTAGTACTGTCTGGATATAGTAACGGCCATTAACAAAATGTACTCGATGATAGCGAAAAGGAAGGAACCGGCAGAAAAGAAGTAGTCTTCGGGCAGAACGTCACTGTAGTCGATGCTACTTCAGTCTCACACTGTACAGCTATACAGCCTCATTTCGGGTAGTTACGATGCAGAAAGACTATACAGCAGCCGCACATAACAGCACAAGCTTCAAGTCTGACGTTGTTCGATTCGTAAGTTCAACAAACGAAGGGATGAGTGCTCACCCAAAGCGATTACTGCTTTCTCATAAATCAATAGTGCCGTATTCGACATAGAAATGTCTTGTCCTCTATCGGTCGAGTGCGGCCGAAGAACCCGCCCAGTCGCATTGCAGCAGTGGCTAGTGCATCCGTTGCCACTATTCCAGGCCCATTTCGGTGCCGTCTGCTTTGTAGCGCCATTTGGAATATGTCCGTCGTCTATCGCTTGTCGTCAATTCACTGCAGAAGCCAACGACTCGACAAGGAGACAAAGCAAGCGAATGAACAGAGAGACTTCCTTTGTCCTCTCTGTTTAGGTTACTGGCGCTGCTACTTATTTGTGCTCCTGATTTTCCGCAATGAGACTTTTGAGACCGAGCATTAAAAGCCCTTACTCTTCCCTAATCCTCTGAAGAAACGACGAGCGAATGAGAAATACGATAAGGAAGACGGTAACAAGCGAGGGCTTGTCCGCGCTCGAACCAGGCCGGAGCAGAGAGCCACTCGGTCGCAATGTAAAAGTCGTGACTGTCCCCGATAGTGCTGCGTTTGGTCTAACATGTGTATGTCTCTGGGCGTACTCGTGTGTACTTGCCAGAGTCTGCCATGCGAGACACTGGAACACAGTAGCATATTAGACCGTCAGCGCCAGCGACTGCGACGCTTAGGCTTGGAACGGATCCTGTGCAGTGTAACGGAAGAGGCTGGTTGCCCGTAACTGAACACACGGAATCTGCGAAATGCGAAGCAGAATATGCCCGCATAGTCGGCGAGCAGTCAGCGCTGCTCTGCAGTCGGTCCAACTCCGATCTCACGCCTCACAGCGTCCTACCCATAGTTCCCGCTGGGGTGCGATCCCCAATGACGCCTATTCTTGCCAATCCCAGCTATATCTGCTGTCGTTGTTTGCGGTAGGGGGAAGCGAGAAGCGTCTGTACGGGCACAACCGAATGCTATCGTCTGGGCGGTGTCGTCGTAACAGCATTCGGTGGTCGTTACGGCCCTAATAGTCCTGTAGGCAACAACGGCAGAAGGACAAGTTTGGCAGGAGTCGGCGTTCGCCAGCTCTAATCCACCTGCCTGTAGAAGAGTTAGGACAGTATTTCGTTCGCGGTTACGCGCTACCGTTTCAGCCGCCCAACTTCTTTAACAAGAGAGTCAGGATCTACCAGCTGGGCTAGAAGGTGGTAGCAAGCGCAAAAGCAGAGATATAGAAAATCTCGTATATATATACTGAACGAATTCTCAGCGAGCAAGCAGGCGGTATTCCAGTAAAGGAGAGTTACTTTAGAAGCGGAATATTCTATTCATCGTCAGCGTAGGCGTATCCATGGCCGCATGTATACTAAAAGCAAAAGTTCGACAGTATTATTATAATATAGTGATTTTCCATTGGTCTCAGTTCGTTTTGTTGTATTAGGTGCAAGTGTGTGTGTGCGCGTAAGTTACTCTAAGTATACTATGTACACATCTGTGAATATAGTACGTGTCATGCATATCTTCGTCGTCGGATCTGAAGAGACAGTTTCGACGATAATTTTTCTATCATTTGAAGCATATTAATTTCGATTGATTGGTTCATGTAGCAATTGCTGCGGTTGAAAAGCCCTTTTTACTAAAACCTTTCTTCGTCTCTTTTTTTGCAACCTTCTTACTGGGCGAACGGAAACTATCGAGCAAGAGAAAGGCCAAAACAAAAGAGAAGAAGCGCAGAGAGCACGAGGAGGACAATTAAGAAAAGACGAAGTAGAAGCAGAAGTCAAAGGATAAGCTGAAACGGTAGGATGAGACTCACATTGGGCCACCTAGGCCCACCTCAGCACGTTGAACAGAAGGCAACGGTCACTGCCGCCGGTGAACGAGAGAAAAATGGTGAAACGCTGGTCAGGACAGACACATGAAGGACCAGCTTACATACCGGCAAATCGGCCAAGGACCTAATGCTCTTCCATCGCTGCCACTGCCATCGTGCCATCGTTAACGTTACTTCAACCACACGGACGACTGCGGGGCAAAGTACAGCGCCCTTAGTGAACGAACCCGGCAGTCAATACCTGCTACAGAAAGCGGAAGCGGTCATAACGGCCTCAACAGAACTAGCTCGTCAAGATGACATACATACTAAACCTCAACAGCTTACAGCTTTAGCCGCAACTGCCACCTATGGCATCGGTGGTCCTGATACTACAGGACGGAGCTCGTCTATGGAACGTTATCCAGACCGCCCTCGCCGCAGCACCAACGCACCCCTTCGTAGTGTGCCCCAGCTACCAAAGAGCTCACTCCCCTTCCATCGTTCTGTTGTTCTGTGAAAGTGCAAGCGATCGTGAACCCATAACTCGGTGAGCTAACTCAAGCCGTACCTGACTACAACATGAAATGCGATTAAATAAGACTAAGGGAGCCCCCCTGTTGTCGGTAAGTAAGTCGTTCTTCGACAAGAAAAAAAAAACTAGCTATAAGCAAAAATCGACCAACACGGTGCGTAGGCGATTATTGTGAGTACATATTGCTTTTATTGCGTGGGCATATTCTGACTGTCGATTCATGCCATGTAAAAATGGCATTTGAATCCTTGAATTGTCCTTTTTACTGTGATGGATTTCCCCTTTTTATCAATCGTTTGGCAATTCTACCATGATTTATGAGAACAAAACAGAAATATTAGAAGCGTAAAGTGTCTGTATTGCCATTTCCTTTGCCTGTCAGGGTACCGTCCATAAACGGTTGTCCTGTCGCTGCTTCCACTGTGAACAACGTAACCGTAAGCGTTCTCCCTTAGCCCTGTACAAGCCCAACAGCAAACCAAAACCGACTGCGAAATGTAAGTTTTTGCGCAATCGAGCACCATAGGCAGGCCATGGCGCCGCTGCTACGATTCGAGGCAGGAAAGGACATATGTTCTGCATTTAATTGTTGCTTAACTTCTGGCTTATTTTAGTGGAGTCAGTGCCGTCAACAACAGTTATGATGCCGGTGATAGGAACACCGAAGAGAACATCGACGAGAACAAACGATAACAAGGAAGACGAATCTGATGACAGCGGTTCCCTTGCCGAATTCTGGGTAATGTGAGCAGGCGCCGCTGCCGATGAATCGCAGAGCAAAGTCAGATGCTTTTTGGTTGAATTACCGACCTACTTTTACATCAAGTCAGCCTGAAGTATGCGACCAACCTAGGTAACGGCTCGCCCAAAAGCCAATCAGCCAATAAGTCGTATACATACGGGTCGAATGCAGGAGCGCCAAAGTCTCGTGCCGGCTCGCCTTGCATCGTTTTTTTGCAGTTTTCTTCTTCCTCGATAATTTTTGTGCTCATAAAATAACTCGGCTCGTCTTTTTGAGGCTTGGAGAAACTCATAATATCGTTCTGCCGGGTCGACAGTTCTTTATCGAAGGAGCATCGCGAAATATATATATTTTAATTGGCACTTTTATGCAGCATATCTATAGGTTTAATCCAACATGTGTGAAATATGTGTTCTCTTCTCTAACGTGCAACCAACAAATAGAACGAACGAAGATGCAAAGCGCATGGATATCGTCAGCAAGGTCTTTGTTAGTCTTTGCTTTGGAAACCACTAAAGCTGGCCAACCGCAGGTCCCTTTCACACGCGCACATTGTCTATCTGTAGAGAGGTTGAACTATGCACACGGCTAGATTCTGGACTTTTTCCCTTGTATTATATACGAATACGATCATATGCACTTACCTGGACGAGATCTGCGTAGCACTTGTGAAGTGTGTCGTACTCATCTTTAAGCGCCTTGCACTTCTGACGAAGCGCTGCCTCTCCGCCCTCCATCCCGCCGACCTCTAGCGAGGGCTGATGCTGAAAAGGGACGAAATAAACGTATAAGAACCATCTGAGTTTTGCCACTATACAGTAGATCAATATTTCTAAGCAAGCCAGTAATATTTCGATAGGCAAGTTCGGAAAAAAAGAGAAAATTCAACGAATTATTTATTCAGACAATGTAAAACACTCCTCAAAGTAAACACACTCAAAATAAAACACTACGATACAATAAAAATTGATTTGCGGTTTTTGCTGGATGATCTATATGTGTCATTTTCTTCCTCATTTCCGAGATCCAACTCGGGTCGCCAGCTGCAAATGGCATTTTGTGTCTTTACGGTGCACGGAACGCCTTCTTCATCTTTGGTAACTTAGCTCTTGCCCCGTTTATATATATATGCACAACACACCTAGCAAGACATTACAATGAACTATGAGTGTCCCGTTCATCTGAGCTACACACATGTATTCCAAAAGTACTTCCTGCTATATACCCATCATTCAAATTTACTACAATGCATAAGGCAGACAACTCCATTACTAAGCAGAAATATGGTACGAGGCTTGCAGATCAATATATGTTGAAACATATCGATAGACTCAAAATAAGACCACATTTCTCTGATAAGCTACTGGTTATTGTCTAATGGGATCTCTAAATAATAATAATACTCTAATTGGATCAGTAAATAGGGAATAAACATGATTATTATTATTATATAATAAGTAAAAGTTATCGTTATTTAATGTCAATTAGCAGTTAGTACATTTTAAGCTTCATATATTGGTTTTCGTTGGCAAACTAGCAAAGTAATCTTGTTAAACTTATTTATTCGTACATGATCAGTCAACACAGCTCGGTAAACGGATTTTTTTATAGTTCATAGAAGAGGATCCATATATTTCTCGGTGTTTTCGACTTCAGTTTCTTGAAGCATTGGAACGTTTAAGCGTAAGGTCCGACATCCATCAATGCTAGTGTCATCTTAACAAGTCTTTCAAGCGCCTATGTTGGAGGACAAGCAGGCTCTTAACGAGGACAGAATGACATAAGATAATAATAATGTTTCGTTCTCTATTAAAAAAATCTCGCTGTCGTTAGCTTACGCTTGGTGGTACAGAAACCAAGTCCAGTTATTCATGCAGAAAACATAAGGGGCTACACATTTATGGTAAATTTAAAAATATATTAGAGTGTGTTGGTACTTGTTTCCTCGGACGAAGGATAAAACGGGTCTGGATAGAGGCAGCTAAGTAAAGGTGTCCCATACTGGTTGGTGTTCTATGTAATTTTCGTTGGAAAAAGCATTGCTGTTTGTATAAGCCAGCACAACTGTTGATGATGATTTCTACAGAAACCACTGGCTATAGAGCGGCCGCCCTATTTCTCTTCCAACGTCCGCTGCTTAACGTGACACTTACACGATCAGTCTCTGGCTTTGCCCCTTATGGTCCAACAGGCGAAGACATAGGAACGCCGAATGGAAGGTTTTCCGTAATGCTTCGAACATTTTTTCTTGTGCGTACTAAGAACGGGCTAAGCAAATTTGAATCCATGAGTGTTCTATTAATCAGATGCTCGCGGATTGGCTGCCTCAGCCGGATTAACGGGCCATTCGCGCGTAAATACCCTTAACGATTTATATTCTAGCTTCAAGACCTCCGTGTGGTCTAGAATGTTGCTAATAGGTCTATGCTTTTCGTTGCGTGCCTTCGAGTGCAATTTAATCTTATCGCTATGAGGTCCACCAAATGAGCATACAGGCTACCGCATTTAGCTTCGCTCGTCCCGCATTCAGTGAACTCTTTTTCAAGCGTAGCTTTATGAAGTTCTAAAAGGAGCAGGAGGAATGGCTCTCCACCTCAGCACGCGCCTTAGCTTTCCTCCTTATCCACTCTCTAAGTGCGTCTTTCTTCACTCCGTTGTTAACGTGGCAATAAAGCCCTACGGCCCCTTTACTCTGTGGAAATTAATTAGGGCATTATAAGAGAGATGTTCTCAGTAGCACCAGTAGTGAGAAAAGTAAAAATAGAAACCAAAATCGTGCGAATACTCCAGAGTTATACGTATAGTGGTCCTGCAACTTCATCCTTTCCAATGAGTGACCAACCAGAGAACGCCCTGGCGAGCAGATACGCGAACTCTGCAGGTCAGCAAATTTGTCGGCGAAACGGTGCGCACCGGCCCAGCCTGCAAAGTACTTTGGGACCAGGAGAAAATCGCTGGCTGCTTTGCATGCGATTGAGGTGCAAAGAACTCGAGGAGTTGAGCCATGATATAAGTGCCGAAGATGGAAGGAAGAAAGAAATGGTGACCGGGTCGTTAGTGCCGAAATTTTCAGAAATCAAATAAAGCCCAGTTGCCATTGATTTTGCTTTACTGCAAAAATCAGGTAACCCAAAGGCGCATGTGCGAAGTATGTCTCGTGTGAGCGCGAAGGGTCGCATCCGTCGGCCTGCCGCTTCAGATAACGTGACCACAGAGCTGCTGCTGGCCTAACCGACCCCCCTCACAACCCACTCTCGAGTAGCGACTAAGCGTTCGAGCTCCGACCGTTTTGTACGGTTTTTCCTTTTTCCTTTTTGCTTCCTTTTAAGACCATTGCGCAGCTGACGAACGCTTTTACATATAGTCATAGATTCACAAAGTTCTGTCCTCCACTTGCTATTTCGCGTACCCCCCTCCCGGTCCATATGCAAACCCAGATACACAAAATTCTGCTCGTATCATTTTCTATGTATCAACAGAAAAAGTGCCCAAGATTTTGGTAGTGAAGTTCGAGCAGTGATAGTAGCCGTGACGCGCCGTCCGCCCTCACGAGTAGGGCCAAGTGAAGCAGCATTTATTATAGACTCCGGCTACGTTTGAAAAACGTGCGCACCGTCTTCATTCCTATCCTTTTTGCCCGTTTGTCTTCCTTTCATTCCGCAGGGCTCTCTTGGCGTCTCTTTGACCTTGATGATATGGAATAATTGGCCAGAGGAGACTTCAAGATGATCACCAGCGTTTTCACTGTTATCAAACGTCGCACCCAAATAACGAGTGTGGCCACAAACTCATACACAGATACAATACTCACAACGAAAATCTTGTACATAGAATACAGAGGGCGAGCGGTATCGTTTATCGCAGTTTGTTATTCGGCGTTGGTTTCTTCCCAAGAAGATCCGTTTGTAAGTGAGCTCGAACAGCATAAAGAAACAGAAGATTTTATGCGCTAGATAACTGTCGTATTGAAAGCACAGCATATCCCTATCCACCTCACATTTCTATACCATACTGTTGTAAGAATGCATACAGATCTCGTCAAAATAAATATGAAAGAAACGATCGATCTTTTGGATTAACCAAACGTACAGCTGTGCTTCAGCCTTTTCAACATTACAATTATCTGAATGGACGTATCAGTCTCTTCCCTGCTAATGCCTTTTTCTTCTAGACACGGACCATCCGTACTACTTCTGCACGCTATAATACAGTATATTGTAATCATCTAACGCAACTGAACAAGACCGCCTTTTTGTCTCTTGTTTAGTATATAAAACACCTCTAAATGCATGCACGCGCTTGTCTTATATTGTCAGATTAGGGCAGAGACTGGCCACAGTGAGCACATCATCGTCGCCTTATTGCGTCCTATGAGAATGATGCGAAGAAGATGAAACGCAATCTGATTTCACGCGAGGACACGCTAAGGTGACCGCTTTTGTTGCTGATGAACACTAACACCGCGTTCATCAACTAGCAACAACGACGATGGGCGCCGACGATGTACGCAGATGGTGTAGTGCGCATTAATATAATGACTTGACTCTGCTGAACCCCTGTAACTGCCGTCCTCGCAGTTCCCATTAAGCAACTATGACGACAACGGCCTCGCTAGATAAATCTCAACATCAAACCAGCCTGCAGCGCTCGTCTGTCTCTACCCCCATAAGTGCTATTATTGTTAGAAGCATGACCATGGTGCGTCCTCATCGTAGCCCCCCGTCATTACAACTGTCTTTTTTGCCACATTCAAACCTTTTTTCTTAATCTACTAGCTAAATACAATTCTCGGCGAAATGTGCAGCAACCCGATTCTTGAGATGTCTTGTAGTCTCACAGGTAATTTATTTTTTTTTTTGTTAATTTATCCTTATTTATTCCTCCCCATTGCATCAATGTCTTGCCTTTCATATTCTGCAGGTATTCTCTAAGATGACCGCGGTAACAAACGCGACATAAAATGAAGACGCAGCGTTAGTTGACAAATCATTGCCGCCACTGGAACTATTAGTGCATTTTGGTAACTGGTGTGCCACGGCTCGAAATGTCGAGAGCTTACCATAATTCTAGAAGCCACAGAGGCCCCTTTAGGCTTTTGAGTCAGATCGGCCGGAGTCAAACAGGCCCCCGTGCGCCTATTCACCCAGCCATAGGCGGACGACCTTCTGAACGAACGATCGAACCGAAAAACAAACGAACACTATGTGCAATTATAAGGTAATTGCATGGGAGCAGCAGCGAGCGATGGAGCTGAAAGAAAATGAATAGAGGGCAGAGACAGAAGCGACGATAAATATACGTACTCACTACACAGAGCTATGCCTTATAGAGACAGCCATTCTACGGAGCACAGTCAGATTTCCAGGTGAGCGGATAAGCTCAAGATGTATGAACCCTGAGCGGGTTAATTTGTACACCGTACTGGAGACGATCAGACAAATTTCGATCGATTTTGTTAATGCAAAACTTCCACAACGATTCGTCATTTCCGAGTATCCCTATACAATATCGTTTCAAAATGTGGGTATATGTGCTAAATTGGTTGGATCTTTGACTCTAGCGCTTAGCGTATAACGCTGGACTAAAGCAACTAGCCAATAATACACACAGGGACATGCAAAATACACCTGTCTTCGTGCGACGGCCTCCATATATGAACTCATGGATATCTGGACGTCCCCATATACAACACTCGATCAACTGATCCGTGTAAGGGAGCGTAATAACGATGCCACTAAGGACTCGAGAGCTAAAGTAACCTAAT